GTGACTCTTCTGTGTGTGAAGATCGTCTTTACCTAGAAGTCGTTGTCAGGTCAAAGTTGAGTAAGAGGTCAAAATGAATAAGTAAATGAATGAGTGAATCTATCTATCTATCTATCTATCTATCTATCTATCTATCTATCTATCTATCTATCTATCTATCTATCTATCTATCTATCTATCTATCTATCTATCTATCTATCTATCTATCTATCTATCTATCTATCTATCTATCTATCTATCTATCTATCTATCTATCTATCTATCTATCTATCTATCTATCTATCTATCTATCTATCTATCTATCTATCTATCTATCTATCTATCTATCTATCTATCTATCTATCTATCTATCTATATATCCGTCCGTCCGCTTGTCTGTCTGTCTGTCTGTCTCCCTACCTATCTATATGTCTGTCTGTCTGTTTGCCTGTCTGTCTGTCTCCCTACATATCTGTCTGTTTGTCTGTCTGTTTGCCTGTCTGTCTGTTTGCCGGTTTGTCTGTCTGTCTGTCTGTCTCCCTACATTTCTGTCTGTGTGTTTGTCTCCCTACATATCTGTCTGTCTGTCTGTCTGTCTGTGGTACTATATTTAATTGGCCAGGAACAGAGCAATTATGGGGTGACCAACAAGACCCCCCCCCCCCCGGCCTTTTTTTCCCCTTCACGTTAAAAAAAAAGTCTGCTATTCACTGAAGGCAGCTGAGTTTAAAGGTCAGTCCAGCGACTTAGTGGAACTTCAAACATAATAACGGAGCAATAGTAGGGGCATTCCCAGGGTGCTGTGATAGAACTCTCCATGCTTGGGCTTTGGCATCTGTCCAGTCACGATGATTAAATGGGCGTGTTAGGGGGTGGGGGGTTCAGCACCTACCTATTTTTTATCTGAGTGGTAAGGATGGTGTGGTTGGGGGCTGGTGCGAGCTTCCTTGTCAGTGTTTTCTTGAATTAATTCGGGAAAGGGGTGGGGGGGGGGGTGTAAGGTGTCCCCCGGGAGAGGGGGAGGGGGGTGTTGACCAACCCATTGTTAACTTTACGGAGGTGCGCCTCATATCAGCAGCTAGAATCCACAGGCGTGTCGTACAGACATGCATTGACTATAAATATATTTATGATACGTTTTTGAAATGTAACAGAGACAACGAGCTATCTGGTCGGCTCTTGGTGATATCCAACATCTCACAAAATGTGTTCTTGCACAATATGTACACTATTTGTCTGAATTTTGTGCTCTTGTCTAAGAAGCTGGAGGCTCGATTCATTACCCTGGGTTGGTTGAAATAAGTCTTGTGTTTATATGCTGAATTTATAACAGAATAACAGAGAAACAGATGCTGATTACAAGACAAGACTGTTTTAGTAACACGTACTACTGAATGTCAACAAACCTTAAGGGGCATAGTCACACACAGACATCTCTCTAAGGTGATAAAGGCAGTGATACAGCTAGTTACCCGCGTAAAGGTCACGTGGAGCCACGCCCCCGTCAAATACTGAAACTCTATTGGCTCAAATGGCAGGTCTAGGCTAGTGAAGGCCGGGTTGTAACAGATGTTTGTCCATATTAGGGGTATCAGGCATCCCAAGTCACTGACTGACAGACCTGAGGAGGTGAATAATATTTAATTATTACCCTTCTTTTTGCGAGGAACCCATTTGCTTCTAATGACAGCAACACACACACACAAACACACACTACACAAATGTAGACGAACACACACACATACATCCACGCACACACTTACAAGCACCCGCGCGCACACATACACATATTGTCTACCTTCATTGAGCTTACTATATATTTTGCTCTGCAGTGGGTATATTTTCTGATTTGCACATTCAGCCTGGACAACTGGCGTTGCCAAAGTATCTTTAATGAGCACTCCTGCAATCATTTTGTTCTTAATTTAGAAAAATACATCTCCAATTAACCAATTGTTGATCAGTCAAGAGGTTTCTTATTCTTGAAGTTCCCTTTGTGACGCGTTAGACATGATGTCTGTTCACTTACTTCTTCTTCCTAAAGTCCATTTCTTCTTCTTCTTCTGTGTTCGACATCAGTCATGCTAAACATTGAGTCCCGTCTGGGTCACAAATAGGATTGTGCGTTTAAGGTCGCCACCGGTCCCCCATAGCTTCTCTTGCAATGTGGCTTCCTTGGGCCAGATCCACAGTCTTTGCTGGGAGAGGCAAGGGCAGAACTGTAGTGTGTGCCCAGAGGTCTGTCTTTCTGCTCCACAATCACAGGCAGCAGATTCTTTTATGCCTATCCTGTATCCTAAAGTCCATGCCGTGTAGCGTCAGTTGTCATGTCAATCAACAGCCTTCTGTCCCTGTACTTTCGGTCACATCTGACACAGATGATCCTCAATGCCACCATGTTAAATTGTGCAGCATTTTTCTGTCGGTTTCCCTCTGCTTCTTCTCTCCTCCAACTTTCCTACTTTCACGATGTACTCCAGTTTTCTCCTTCTTATCACATGACCAAAGAATGTAGATTGTCCCTTTCTGATGTGGGTAGTCAGTTCTCTTCGTAAATCAATTTCTTTCTAGACATCCTCATTAAACTTTTAATCTGTCCAGGGTATTTTCAATATTCGTTTATACTTTACTACGTTTTAACTATTCTACCAACAGTCCATGATTCACTTCCGTATATCAAGATAGGATTTATGTAGCTTTTAAGAATTCTCTTTCTCGTCTTACTTGACCCCAAAAAAAAAAAAAAAAGATTGCATAAAATATTTTTTCCCCGGGTAAAATGCTGCCTTTGCTTGAGCTATTCTACCTTTAGCTTATTCAATACATCCTTCATCTGATGTTATCAGGGTATCCTATTACTTAAACATATCAACTTCAGGTTTTTCCAATTTAATTCCAGGTTGCATTTGGTAGGTTCAGTTTTCCTTGTTCACAAGAAGTCATTTAAACAAATGTGACTAGGCAGCTTAAAGCAATAAATGGACAAGACGCACACCGAACCTTTAGCCCAAAGTCTTTACCAACAGAGTATTAAGTACAACATAAACTGTGGCGGGAAAACTCAAGGACAAGACAGTAAAACTTCCAAACACCCTAGATAAAAGAAACCCAAGAAATACCTAACTGGGGTTGGGGGAGAGGGGGAGGGTGAGGCGGGGCAGGGTGGGAATCTTCTTCTTCTTCTTCGATCCTTCTGTCAGAAAATTTATATCAGGAGGCCGGTAGCCTTTGTGAAAGCTATCGTGCAATCCATATCCTCTCGTGTACCATACAGTTTTGTCTTCAGTGTGGTTGGAACAGGCCAGATTGCGTCTCTGTTGTCAGCATACAGTTGACAGTGTTGGAGCACATGCTCAGCATTTTCGGGTGCCATGCTGCAGGGACACGTCTCCGTATTTCCTACACCGAAAGATTTGAACATATGTTGACGAAATCTGTTGTGCCCTGTCCTTAGTCTGGAAGGATTTCATTAGGAAATGAAATACATTAAGAAGGCGTTTGAAAAAAAAGAGGGGGAAAAATATAAACAACTTAAATTAATAAATTAAATAGGATTAAATAAAATTAAAAATAGGTTAGGATTAGTGGTTGGCATGGTCGTCTGAACCCATGGCCCGCTGGACACTTGTCCGGGGGCCCCACCAGCGTAAGGACCCCACGCTAATCTGTGTATGTCAAGTGACCTGCCATAAATAAACATTTCTTCCAGGTGAGTGGTTGTCGTAGGGATCCCATCACACTGGTTTGCCAGGGCCCATAATACTGTTAAGAAGGCTCGTTCAATCACCTAAGCAAGATTCTATAGCAGCATCTGAGATACTGGTTTCACCTTTGGGGTCGGAACTATAAAAATGGAAAGATACTGGTTTAACGATTTAAAAAAATAACCGCAGAAAAAACGATTACGAATATCCTCAAGATGTTCACAAACTTCTCTCAAAAATACAGATGTTCATCTATGTCATGTCATGACGATAAATTGCCCAACATCTATGTCATGTCATGACGATAAATTGCCCAACATCTATGTCATGTCATGACGCTAAATTGCCTAATATCTTTTTTTACCTGGCCGATACTGCTTGGCTTTCTCCTAGCTTTCCCGTTGTCGCGACGTGCCCCAGTATTTTCAAAGTTCATTTCTTTCTATATGTCTTCACTGCGCGTTTTCTTCTGTCCATGATTTATCGCCATTCTTTTACAGAAAAAATCACCGCAGCTTCTAAACAATTTCTCATTAATCTAGTGACTGTCTATAATTCACATACATAAATTATGATTGTCTTTATATAGCGCTTGAGAATTATCTCTCTCGCTTGAATTGACAACAACAAATTACATATGAGGATATTTTACATGCCGATGAAACATCCTTTTACCTGGCAAATCTAAAAGCGATACTCTAGTATAATAGAAAAATCATTATACTATAAAAATAATACTGTATGTATAATAGAATATTCTTTATACTATAAAAATAATGCTCTAAGTATAATAAAATATTCTTTATACTATATAAATAATACTCTAAGTATATTAAAATATTCTTTATACTATAAAAGTGATACTCTAAGTATTAAACAAATTTTGTATGCTATACACGTGACACTCTAAGCATAATAGAATATTCTTTATACTACAAAAATGATACTCTAAGTATAATAGAATATTCTTTACACTATACAAGTGATTCCAGAAATAAATGGCAAACTACTAGACGTAAATTTACCTAGAAAAACCACAACAGCCAAAAATCATGGGTTAGTTCTGCAACGTCCTGTAAAGGATACGCAACTAACTGTTCAAGTGATACTATAAGTATAATAGGATTTTCTTTATACTATAAAAGGGTCTTTGCCCTGGATTGTTTATTAACTCCCTCCCCCTTTTCTTTTTCTGTATATAGGCAATCTTTTACCTCTGCTATTATTTGCGTTCTGGTCTGCTGAAATGTATTGAATCTAACCAAATAGACTAGTTTCGACATTCATTCTTCCACAGACGTCTACAATAAAACTTACCCAACAAGCTAATATTGACCACGTCTTTGAACCCTGTCTTCAGAAAACAAATAATGTTCACAATATTCGTCACAGTGCCAAAACAAGAAATGACCTGAGATAGCACAGCGAAGAAGATCCACTGGAATATTTCTCTGGTGTTATCGCTGACTAAACCATGATACACAAACAGCACAGCCAAGTCTGTGGTCGTATTGTTGTGTTTCACTTCAGAATTGTTTGTTTCCATTTCCTCCAGACTGTTACGTCTAGCTGTGTGTGTTCTTACTTGATGTATTATTTGTTGATTATGCTTCTTCAGCCTTCTATGGTTACGCGCTTAATCCATTATGGGCCATAAACTTGAATCTCAGCTCCTAGAGTTTGCTGATTCTATCGGCAGTAAATGAAAAGCAACAGTGGCTAAAGAAATGCCTACAGCCCAACCAAGAAAACCAACAACACCGAGAAATTTCTGAAGTTCAAACGCATACTACACATATTATAGTAACACGAATAAAGTAAACAGTGGCCTGAAGTGAACGGGAACAAAACAGCAATGTTTCACATCAGCAGACCTACATGGTATATGATGCTAATCCCAGATCTATCAGTTGACCGGAAATAGATGGGTGTCACGCCCCAGCCTTGACCTACCTGGATGACCTCTTGTCATGGGCGCTAATACTCAATCTCTATACACATTTTCTAGGCCTGGGCTCAAAATACACACGCCAAGTTAAAATGCACAGTAATAAAAATAATTACACAATTTACAAAACGCCCTTTTCCAGGCTTAGAGGCGTCTTAGGCATATAGCCTATATTTTGTAGATCAATCTGCACTCGGTAGGTAATGTGGTCAACATTACACCGACCGACTTTACTTCCCAGAACTGCCCCTGATGCCCATTTACAGCTAGGTCGACCTGGAAGCCAAGGTCATTTTGGGAAAAAAAAATAGTTTGGCTCCATTCGTATTTGAACACACGACCTTCGAATCCACAAGAGAGAGAGAGAGAGTCTAGCCTCTACTCTACGACGGCTACCCCATAATAATAATAATAATAATAATAATAATATTAAAAAGTTGCTGAATGACAGAGAAATATTAATATAGTTGAAAACTGAAAGACTAGCTCTTTTCTTGCTAACATCATTTTGATTTCAGTTATTATTATGTTTTTATGATACTTTCATGTATGGAGCGTAAGACGTTCTGTTGAATCTATTGTCAATTGTAAATATGGTACAGCTTTATTTTTGTGGTTCTGCTATAAAGTCTGCCCAAAGAAATGATAACTGATTTCTTCCACGTCTCCCTGTGTTGCCATTCACATACATAACGTTTATTTCGCCGCCCCCGCTTTCGTGTTTTCTTTAACAAAACCATCTGTAAACATATCTGTTCAAATATGTGCGGGATGCTGATTTCATAGCATATGAAGTGACAGTATTCTCTCCTCTCGTTTTTTGAGATTATTCCTGGAATTTCCAGAAAGCTTAGCACATGATCGTGTCAGTATTTGCATGTTGCCTCTGTGTTTCTGTTGCTAGATAATTTGGCCTTTTTTTTTTTGGTCTAAAGGTAAAATCGGGAGATGCGAACCAGCGTGATTGTACACTGTTATAAAACATAAGTGCTCTGCCACCAGTACTGACAGCTGATAAGAATTGTCCGCCTGTGTCGCTGTTCGCACGTAACTCTGTAGCTACAGCGACGTTCCTCCATTTACCCCAGAGTGTCACTCTGGTACCCATTTCCTAGAGGCTGGGTGAACCCCGGGAGCCGCCTGTTTCGAACACCGGCCCTGTGCTGCAGCGAGTCGCAGCTGGATTTGAAAGCGAGCCTCTTATCGACTGTGCTAACGTGGCCCCCAGTCTGTTCCCCCCCCCCTCCCTCTCTCTCTGAAAATTCATGGTGCAGCGAAGAGTTTGGAAGCCTTCTACGCTTTTGTATTAAGCAATATTCAGTACCGTCTACGAAGCGGAAGAGACTATATGTCAGCAGTTTTCTCAATTACTTACAACGAGTCACTGTATGACTTATTTTCTTCCCTACTGTAAGTGTGGCTTCCATGTATATCTAGTGTCGAGAATAACTATACGGAAAGTGGTGCATCTCTCTGAAGGATTGTTGATTTTCTAACATTATCGATGTAGTGTCTGATTGTGGAGAGAGAGAATAGACTGTTGATGTTGGTACTACTTAATGTTAGATCCCAGTTCTTTGCCAGGTTTTCTCCACTGACTGTTGAAGTAGCTAGAATAAGATGGGGGTGCTTTTCGCTGCAACCCAAACAGTGAAGTCATCTAAAGGTAGATTGTTGGATACTTGATAAAAACATTTAATAATATGAATTATGCAAATCACAGACTACCCTCTTTTGAACAGCCCTGGGGGAACTACCGCTTTCAGTTTTACTGACAGATTGATCTAGCTGTATCTTCTAACTCTGGCCAATCGTTGGTACAGGAAACCTTTAATCCAAGATTTCATGCTATAAGTAACTTCTGTTTGCAGAATTCTCTGCCCAGATCCTCCTTTCGCGCGGTGTGGAAAGAAACAGCAAAATTAAAAAGAAAAAGAAGAAAAAACCGAGAAAAACATTTGGAGTAATGTTAAAAAGAAGCATTGACTTGACTGATAATAACTTATTTTATTCTTCCCATCTTCTTTTTCACGTTCACCAACTGTAACCACGGCTGAAAGCTCTGGTTTTTCGTCCACTTCTGAACTTTAATCTTGTTCCATAACCCGAGTGTTAAATGCACATCCATATGATAGATCTGACTTATTTGTATGAAGATTGCTAGTTCCTTCCTTCTCAGACAGATGCATTCCGACTTCGAAGAAAATACCTAATTAGAACTTAATCTGTTATACAACACTGAAGCAGGTACTATTTTATCACAATGTTCTCTTTCTTCTTTTTGCGTGGTCTTTTTCCTTTCTACTGCCCGAGTTTTAATTCAGTGCCCAGAACCGAACCTGAGGTTCCTAACGCCCCCTTTCCCTCACCCCCACCTACCGGACTTTCGGAGCGTCCAGTTCCCATAGGGAAGAACCGCCCACTTCAGCAATCACTGGTCGAAAATGTACAGACACATTAAAGTAACTTGTCAACCAGTACGAACACATTCGGTCAACAGTTTCTATTTCTAACAGGTGGAAAATGTATGGTTTTATGTTAAGTTTTTTTTACCCTAAGTTCATGTCCGCCTTTCAAAGTTACGTTATCTGTTAATATTGTGTTTAATTAAATAATGCAATTGCTAAAAATAGCAACCATAAGAAACGAGGCTTAATTTTGCAAATTGTGAGCGTAGTAAATTTACAGATGCTCATTTTTGGCCCACGGCTAGTGAACAGAGAGTATGAAGTGAACTAACGAATGTTAAGTTTTGTCTTAATAGAGCATTTAGTTAATAGATCATTATCACAGTGTAGCGAGTCCTTTGCAGACATCGGTCTCATCTCAACTCGACGGAAAGTTCTCCATCCTTGGCAACTTCCAAGCGCAAAGATTTTTGTGTCCAGTCTGAGCTTAATATACACTATAATTATATCAAAATCACACTGAGGTTGAACAGCTAAAGTATTTCACTTTTTGAGACATAATATTTACTAGAATGTTTCCTTCTATCTGGTAGAATGTCAGTAAGTGTTTTCTTCTTAACCCAAGTCATCCTAAAAACAATTTTCATGAAGCATTTAAAACTTACAGGCATCAAATTATTCTTTTGTAAACACGAGATTGTCCACCATTTCCAACCATAGGGTAAAACAGGAAAGATGTGTGTTTTCACGAATGTTATCTGTATTTGTTTGCTGCTGTTGGACGATAACTTCCTGATATTGTTTACTCTCTGCATTTCTGGGAGCCACAACTTCTGACTTTTTAAATTACTTTACTTCTAACCATGAAGCCAGCTGAGTGGTTTTGTGGTGGTCATGTCGTGTCTACACATTGATTTGGTTAAGTTCGTTACTCTGAACAGGTGATGACCTTCATCAAATCTGTCAACAGTAAGTTGGGATTCTAATTACATCGGGCTGGAAGTGTAGGGATAGTCAGAAGGCATTGCAGAATCGGAAATTTAACAACTCATTCAGATAATTCCCGCTCAGATTTTTCAATTTTCTACACATATGGCTCCATGTCGAGAGGCAGAAAAAGTAATAGTTTCGAATATTTTACCTCATCTAGTTTGATAATGGATACGAAGGCATTTGTAGCAGCTTTTCACTTTTTTTGACAACCAGCGGGACACACGTATAGTTGCTGTAACTGTTTCACAAATCATGCAGAGAAAGGCATGCTCTCGGCAGCGGAAAGCGTCACAGCAGAGGTCTCAGGTAGTTAGCGTTCTTTAGATCTTTTCACTGGGGATATATACGGGTGTGCTGGGAAACGAAAAGACAAACAGAATGGCTGTTGCTGCACCACTGGGGGGCCAACTGATTACTGACAAGCTAAATGCGGTCGAGGGACTTCAGGAGCAAACTGACAATGCGCAGGTAGGAAATGCTCAGTGTGGTTTGGAGAGATGGTACAGCCGACACTATACTTAGAGGAAAGGCAAGACTACCATACAACCAAACGCTACTGGTATCATCAGCATTGGCACTTTTCGTGGACTGATGAAAATGCTAAACGAAGCGCTTTTGGGAATTTCCAGAGCTCCGTGGTGTCGAGGAAAGGCAAGAGGGACACATAATCATGCATCTACTGGCACAATTGGTATTGGAACTATGCGTTGGCTGCTGAAGATGGGGACGGAGCGCTTATCGGAATGCCCCAAGTGCTGTGATGTCGATTCTTGAATCAACTCAGTTCAAAACTAGATCTAAATTTTTTATGTTTTTTTTTTTTTACATGCTCTCACTTTTATCAATTTCAGTATGTCAAAACTACAATCAGGGAGGAATGAAACAAAGAGTTCATGAACGTTTAAAATCACGTTCACCGTTTCCCATTAACTTTTCAAATACCAGTCTACCGGATTTTATGCGTTAAGATCAAATTAGAACAGACACCGTTTTAATAACGGAGGTGGGACTAAGGCTCGAGAGGCAGGGGGTTTGAAGTGTTGGTGTTGTGGGTAGTGTTTTTTTTTTTTCACCCTTACTTCATCATAGGCTTTGTGAATATCTGTTCATGAAAGGAGCGTCCATTGCAGTGTCAACCTCTTGACCTAGCATAACCTCTCTTACCCCAAGACCATTGGGCGTGGTGACGAGCCACAT